TAACTTCCACGCTGCTAAATAATCTACTAAGGGAATCAGTCTCTCGAGACTGATCTCTGGTGTGCTCAGAATGGCTAGCTGCTCATGATACCTCCGTTGAGGTAGCGAGCCTCTTAGTACCGCTATGTTTCCGGGCAGTAACTGAGAGAAGCGCTCGCCGGAGACCGCTGCGCCCTGGAACACGGCAAGGTTGGCAGACCGACCTCCTGAGGGCACTGAGGAGCCTCAACCTCCTCAGAGGAAGAGAGGTTAACGCGTGCTCTCACTCAAGAAATTTATATCCCAAGAGCCCCTGTATGTCTAACTTCTCATAGTCAGACAAATACTTAATTTTATTCCTCAGAATTAAATGCAATCAAACTGCGGTGTGAACCTCTCTTCCCCAGAGGGGCTTGCCCTCCGAGGTCCTGAGCCACAGCATCAGGACTCTCATAGCTGAAGTCTCCTTTTGAAAACGACGGCCTTCAGACCCACGTCATCTGCAAGGAAGACTAGACCACAGCCTGCTCGGGGCAGGACCCAATGAAGCACACTTGGCAGGGGCTCCCATACTGCCAGGTGACCTCCTAAGGCAACCAGTCTCGCGAGACTGGCTTGTGGTGCGCCTAGAGCAGCTAGCTCAGTACCCTGAAGCAGCGGACCGGCAGGGGACGGCCATACTAGCTGCTCTAGATACCTCCGTAGAGGTAGCGAGTCTCTTAGTACCGCTACGTTTCCGGGCGGTAACTGAGAGAAGCGCTCGCCGGAGACCACTGCGCACTGGAACAAGGCAGGGTTGGCAGCCCGACCTCCTGAGGGCACTGAGGAGAGACGGGCACCGTGTAATGCGGTGTGAACTTCTCTTCCCCAGAGGGGCCTGCCCTCCGAGGTCCTGAGCCACCGCATCAGGACTCTCATAGCTGAAGTCTCCTATTGAAAACAATGGCCCTCAGACCCACGTCGTCTGCTAGGAAGACTAGGCAACAGCCTGCTCGGAGCAGGACCCATATGTGCTGCGCGCGAGCCATTCAGTCACACGAACAACATCAATCTCCTCAGAGAAAGAGGGCCGCAGCATTCACTCAGAGGGGGATGAACCGCAGCACGGGCTTCCAAGCCCGCGGGACTGCAATCGCAAGATCACAGGCACAGACACACTCCTCGGCGCGTGCCCAGCAAGAGCGGAGCGCTTAACAGCGAAAAAAACACAATCCCCCCCCCGAGAGCCGACTGCGCGAGCTCCGCTCCCTATTAATGCTGCTCATTATAATATCAGGCTTAATATGCTTGTGTAACTGATGTTTGTGCAACTGGCGAGCTCGTTGACGCCCTCCGTATCAATCTCCTCGGAGAAAGACAGGCGGAGCGTCGCGCCCTCTCCTCAGTGGGAAGGACCACAGCGCGGGCTTCTGAAACCCCGAGACCGGGCGCCGGATCTGGTGATTAGGAAGCAGATCCATACGCGAAACCCACGAGCACAGCCGCTGCTTCGCCTCGGCGAAAGCAGGGCCAGCACCGCGAGGAACGCTAGTGAAGGCTACCTCCTCAAAAAGAGCCCTCTGAAAGCGAGGCAAGGCAGTAACAACTGTGCTTCGCTCCCAAGCAAACCACGCACAGGCTGCGTGAATATAATGCTTTTTGCAGGGAGGAACACACAACCTACAATGTGGCTTGCTCTCGTCCTTGAAATGCTTTGTCTTTGCATGAGCTTAGAGACTTTCACAATTGACAGACAACAATAAATATGACTGACACACATCCCTGATAGCACACATACATCTCAGAGACGTCTATTTGACGTCTGCATTTACATCTGGGAGACGTATTTTTTACAGTGTTTGCTCATCTGCAATACGTCTATAAGACGTTTTCTATCAGATGTCAAATAGATGTCTATTAGATGTCTTAAAGATGTTTATGATTTAGAATGTATGTAAAATTGACATCTTACAGACGTCTGTTAGATGTTTGTACACAGCAGATCCTTTCCAGATCAAGTGATCTTTAACAGACATCTTGCAAACGTGTGCGCGCTATCTGGGACAGAGTGCTTCGCTGAATGACAGAAAGCTGACGCTGACTCCACCGCACATGCTTTTATAGCTTCCTGGTCATGAGATCACCCGCCCGTGATGTCCCGCTCAATATAATAACAAATAGCCCCAGATAGTGGTTGAAATGTACTAATTTTTTTATGATTTTGTCTTTTATTTCTAAAAAAAAAAAAAAAGCCAGCCATCTTGTATGTTCTATAAGAGGTATTTGGATGTGTAACTTTATGCACACTATAAAATGACATTCTTATCACTAAAATAGTAGAGCACGGCACCAGCAATTCCAAGGTCGTGAATTTAATTCCACGGAAATACTTTAACATTAGCTCATTGGAAAACATGCCTCTACCTACATTTTTGTAAAACTGTTCATATGTTTCGAAAACTGAATATATTTTTAGTGCAACTCACTGAACAATTCAGTTTGAAAGTGTCACAAAACATGCAGACATGTGGCCACAGGCACCTGATGCTGGCTCCGCCGCACGTGCTTTTATAGCTTCCTGGTCATGACGTCCCCCGCCTGTGACGTCCCGCTCAGCTATTGGACTGATTTCACATATTATTCAGAGTGTGGTCACAGAAGGCATTCTCCTAGCGTTTCCGACGCAGCTCGAGTTCCTGAAGAGGAACTAACGATCAAAGACTACAGATTTTAGCCTAGGATTATAGGAATCTTTTAAGATTTTCAAAATTTGTTTCAGACAACCAAATCGTGGCCAAAATCGCACAGTGTGAGCCGGGCTTTATATAGTGTGTGTGTGATTGGCTGCAGGTGAGTCCAATCAGTTATAGCTTGAACATAATGCAACCAGTTCTGGATAAAAGCGGAATTCATTCAAATGTAAATGTATAATATTGAAAGAACTTGAAAAATGTGCCTCCTAATACAGGGGTCACTTCCAGTTGTGTAATTTCCTCTTGATGACATACTTGTCATTTACTCCCATTGTTGTCTTCTATGGATTACCCAGCATTGCTATGCCACCTTGCTGAAACCTAAATAATTATGAAATGTGTCTCTCCCTGTTTGAAGCAGTGAACACCTGACTCAAGCCTAATCCGCCCCAGTAAATAAAGAGCAGATGATTGGTAATGTTCAGGAGGCAGCAGGTGCTCTCATGTGATTGCATTCACCCCAGCGGCCATTAGAGGTTTATCGGCTCTCAGTCAGGCTAAGCTGGGAGGTGATGGTGGATAAATGTAGCTTCACCATTTGAAATAGCTTGAATGGACAGACTTCTGTTGTTTTGTCTAAGGTGATAGATTATCAGTGTGAGCCGGGCTTTATATAGTGTGTGTGTGATTGGCTGCAGGTGAGTCCAATCAGTGCAATGGAACATGGAGAATGTAGTCCGGAGTGACACAAAACAGTCTGTGTATTGTGGGAGTCAATATAATGGAAAGGCGACCTCTGGTGGCAATCGGACAGAAGGCCATGGACAGGATTCATGACACTAATTAACCCATGACCTTGTATTTGTTAGCAACATGCTCCACTGTTTAAGAAAGTTTACATACAAAAACATAAAAGTGTTTTGTATGAAATACATTTTATAAATCTGCTTTGTCACACTGTATGGATGTCACAATGGATCATGTCATTAAACAGCCTCTTACAGGCTTTTCAACAAAAATGTGAACAATAAAACAAATATGCAAAGCAAAATATATAGTATTATATAATGTGAAGCAGTGAACACCTGACTCAAGCCTAATCCGCCCCAGTAAATAAAGAGCAGATGATTGGTAATGTTCAGGAGGCAGCAGGTGCTCTCATGTGATTGCATTCACCCCAGCGGCCATTAGAGGTTTATCGGCTCTCAGTCAGGCTAAGCTGGGAGGTGATGGTGGATAAATGTAGCTTCACCATTTGAAATAGCTTGAATGGACAGACTTCTGTTGTTTTGTCTAAGGTGATAGATTATCCCCAGAAAAGGGGAAATATGTCTTGAGGGAAACAATGTTGGTAAAAGAGAATAGATGGCCATATTTACCATGCAGGCGTGCAGATGTATTAATTCCCTACACTGGCCTTCAGCTACACTAAAACAGGCCCTGAATTCCGCTGAGCCAGGTGGTCCAGACAAAATGCTCATTAACAATATGACCGCAGACATGGATCCGCATCTCTTGTCTCAAGCTCCTGGGCACCAACGTCTGATAACAGCAGTGTACTGGAATGACACATTTACAAGGCATTATATCAGCAGAGTTACAGGGTAGAGCAAGGACTGGGAAGTAACAGGATGACTGCTGAAAGATAAAGAGGATAATGATGAAAATGGTGATTTTTTTTTTAGACATCACACAAACAGGTCACACATACAGTGTTACTTTGTACCGTAGATACTGACTAGGCTACAAAGATAAACTCATCATGCATGAGTAAGAAAATATTCTGAGGGAAAAAAGTAAATGTTCAGATGTATTTGGTTTATAATTTGATTTGTGATCATGTTGATGTTGGGGGGGGGGGGGGGGGTTAGTGGATATAATACTGCTATGGATATATTTATATAAAAAGGTTTTGCTGTACAGATTCAAGCTGCTTCATTACTGAAAACAGGACATTTGCAAGTTTTCCTTCCTACAGTGGATTGCAGGTAAAAATCTCATGTAGAACCCCTTTAATTTTTTTTATAAAGTCTTGTAAAGTATCATGTTACTATTTAAGTGTGAGAAATTGCTGGAAAAATATGTGTGCTTGAACTGTTTGAATTAATCCAAATTAATGTGCAAATAAATTTAGACATTTTTGCAAACCTGCACTGTAAAAAAAAAAGAAATTTTAGATAATCAGTTGAGTAAATTGAAAGAATATCTCTCTGTGATTTATTCTCATAAGTGATTTGTTTTCAATTCTTTGTTTAGTGGATGCATTATGGTAATAAACACATTAGCGATAAATTGGTCATTTAGAGTATTTTTTGCTTATTGACATTAATCAAAAGTGCATTAGAAAGATTGCTTAATGAAACAATGGAAGGGTCCACTGATCCGTTTTTCCACCATTTAATTCTGTAAGCTCAGCTGAACTGTTGCACAGTCTCTAATGTAATGCTAATTACTACCAGATGGAATATTACACAACAGGCCTTGACGTCTTGAGTGGCAATTGAAGCCCATAAATTAGCATACCGCAAAGTCACAAGAAAATTGTGAAACAGGAAATTGCTGAATTTTTGACCCACATAGCATTGAATATCCGAACCAAGATCCAAAATGAACACTTGAAAGGAATTTGCTTTGATAATTGAGACTTGAGAAACAGCTTTACAATAAACTGCAAAAGAATACATGGTTTATATCAACTGTACTGTAAGACAGATCCTGTAGACATACAAAAGAAATTCATTCTTCTAAAGACTGGTAAAGAAAACCATGATGATGTTGCTAATATACTTGTTTTGGTGGTTTAATTTAATGCAAAACACAGAATTCCATCTGCCTACCTATCAAGCCCATCCTGACCTGTCTTACAGCTGGAGCTGCCGATGAGAAACAAATGTGTATAAATAATAAATAGTAAAAAAATAATAATTCTCAAACAGAAAATGATACAAATTAACCTCAGTTAACAACTGAAAATAGAAAAAAACATGATATATTAGTCCTGCATATTTGCAAAGTCATAGTAATGATCATGCTTGAAAAACAACCTCCCACTGAGAGAGAAATTCAGTGATGATATTAGAGTGATGTGATTGCCCGTTATGATCACAAAAAAACATAATAATAATACAGAACAATCCAATTAGCAGCACACATCAGTGACATTTATTCCACGTTGTCATGTGGTGACAAAATGTGTCAAGTCAACAGCTCAGTTGTGTCAGCTAAATGACTGACATTTACGTAATGAATTCTAGCTGAAACTTTTTTTAATTCACCATTCATCTCAGATAATTGCACCCGCTGTGCTAGAATATATTTGAAATGTGTGCTGATAGAGTTGAATAGCAGGAAGTTATTTGCATGAAAATTAAAATTATACAACAATGTCTACAAAATTTTTAAAGTTTTCTTATTTTGCTTGCTCTATCACACACACATTCTCTAATTTGAATACGGTCTCAACCTAATAACGGCACTCTGAATAGTTCCAGAGATTGGCAATAAGCCGTAATTCCCCAGCTATGGGTGACTCAATGGTCCCCTAATTCCACAGATCACAGCTCTGACTCAAGCTTCCTCTATTGGTATATGATACATACGAGCAGCGATCATTTATGCTTAGTCTGGCTTTAAAGGTGCAGGTGGCCAAAAGGAGAGCAGGTGGCGGAGGAGCCCGAGGTGGAGACGGAGGGCCGATGAGCCAGGGCGACGGCTGACGGGGAGGATCTGGAGGAGCCAAGGCAGAGCAGATGGTGCCAGCGACCGAGGCGGAGGCGTAGAACCAGAAGGCCACAGTGGAACTGGAGGAGCCGAAGGGAAGGAGGAGCCTGACAGAGCTGGTGGGACGGTGGGACGGTGGGACGGTGGGACGAGGCACAGCCAGAGGAGTGGAGCGGAGGTAAGGGATTCTCCAGCCACGGTGATTGATGGAGGATGGCAGACCCGCGGAGCTCGCCCCGTACCGTTGGTGGGCTGAGGAAAGGTCCTTGCGGGCTAGGCCGGTGAACTTGGCAGCGAGGGGATCCATGGGGAAGGAAACACTACGGAAACAAAAAACACTGAATGGAAAATGGAAAACAAACGGAGGGGAGACACATAGTTAAACTGTTCTGGTCGGGTCTTCTGTCATGATTCGCTGCTGGCAGAATCGATGGAGATGTGGATAACATAAGCGGTATTTAATTAGAGAATCACAGGGGTAAATCCACAACAGGAACAGGGGTAAACACACATAATCCAACAATTAGACCCGGCAAACACAGACTGGGGCTAAATACACAGGATAACGAGGGACAAGACGAGACACACCTAACATCAATGAACAATCAAGGTGAGGGAGAAACTGGGTCACAGGGAGCACAGGTCTGACAATATTATATTGCAAATCACTTTTGCTGCTTAAGGTGGGATACAGGTATTATAAGGTTAGTGACAGGTTTGGTGGTATGGGTAGGTTTAAAGTGAAAGGGACGGGTCAACAGTGTAATTATAAATGTAATTGTATACAGGTATTTTTTTAAGTACAATGTAAAAACATGTACAAAATAAGTGCATTGTATCAAATTATTATGCAAATCACTTTTGCTGCTTAAGGTGGGATACAGGTATTATAAGGTTAGTGACAGGTTTGGTGGTATGGGTAGGTTTAAAGTGAAAGGGACGGGTCAACAGTGTAATTATAAATGTAATTGCATACAGGTATTTTTTTAAGTACAATGTAAAAACATGTATGTACACAATAAGTGCATTGTATCAAATTATTAATTTAAAAGTACATAATAGTTAACGACACATAATATAAAGTGGGACCAATTCAATAAACAAGAAGTTAATATTGAGCAAACATGTACACAATAAGTGCATTGTATCAAATTATTAATTTAAAAGTACATAATAGTTAACGACACATATAAAGTGGGACCAATTAAATAAACAAGAAGTTAATATTGAGCTACTTATATTTTAGATCAATACTGGTAGTTACTTTATTTTGCTCCACCAACGAAAACAGCAAAGGCACAGCAAACTCGCCCATCTCACGTCTCATAGTTTAAACTAATCGGTTAAGTGAATGATTCAATTACACACTTAAACGGTCACCTGTTTTGTTCCTTAATGGGTTAGTTCACCCAAAAATGAAAATTCTGTCATTAATTACTCACCCTCATATCGTTCCAAACGATAACGTAAGACCTCCATTCATCTTCGGAATACAAATTTAAGATATTTTTGATCAAATCCAAGAGCTCTTAGACCCTGCATAGACAGCAAGGCTACTACCACGATCAAGGTCCAGAAACGTAGCAAGGGCATCAGTAAAATAATCCAATTATTCCAAAAAAATCAGGGTTTCAGCTGTAATTTTACTGTAAAATTACAGTAATTAGCTGTAATAAGCAGCACCCCGCCATTATGGAGAGAGTATTTTGACACATACTCTTACTTCCACTTCATGTAAACAACGCACGGACTATTTTACTGATGTCCATGCTAAGTTTCTGGACCTTGATCTTGGTAGTACCCTTGCTGTCTGTGGGAGGGTCAGAAAGCTTGGAGCTCAGATTTTAATAAAAAATATCTTAATTTGTGTTTTGAAGATGAACGAAGGTCTTACGGGTTTGGAACGACATGATGGCGAGTTATTTATGACAGAATTTTAATTTTTGGGTGAACTATCCCTTTAATGAATGAATGTGTCAATATAGAATGAATGGTTCAATTACATATAGTCGCTTGTTCCCATGTAACAATGTAAAATGCAGAAATGTTGACTGAAAAAAAAAATTTGCATAAAACACAAATAAGAGTTTAAACATCGAATGGAACTTTGTTGTACACCAGACTTTTAAAAAATGCAAATAGAAGACGATGTCCAGCACACACCACAGGAATGTAGCCACAGGCAGGAACACTCAAGGTTATGTGAGTAAACAAACACTTGACTAAAAATTAATTGTGTTTGTTTTTTAATAGTTACTGTGTGATAATAGTAACAGTATCCTCAAGGACATCACAGGTGGAACTGGCTGAGTTCATCTTGTGCTCAGGATATAATGGTTTGTACAAGCTTGGGGCAACGTTGTCGCTTCTATTTACATTCAGGAAATGAATTGTGTGTTTGTGTGACTGTGTGTGTCCCATGTCCTCTGTGTGAGAGACAGACGAGGAGCTCATGGTAACAGCCCAGAATAGAAAGTGCAGCGTCATTGTGCTGAGCTGTGTGAGCTGGAGCACTGAGTGTGCAGGTTTGGGGTGACATTGGCTGAGCTGAGGCAGACACTGCAGTGGGATTGTGTTTCAGAGAAAGAGGGAAAGGAGAAGGTTGTGTGTGGAAAGGGCAGTGGGGGTGTGGGGGGTGGAGGTATCCTGTGGAACACCTGACAGAGCAGAATCCAAGGAGGTCAGTGATACCTAGAGAAAGCTATACGTTAGCATTCACATTCATCTCAATGGCAATGGTTTGGAACCCATGTAAATTAAAACCTTAAAAATCTTTGATCTGTGTTTCGGGGGGTAATTTTTATTCAAACATACAGATTTCTATGCAGGTCACAGCGCAACAGTTTTAGCAACTTTTTACCATAACTATGCCATGTACATTTTTATACATTTTCAATAACTTTTTTAATTTTTTTGTCTTACCTTTGACCCAGATCTTTAGTGTTAAAGTATTTAAAAAAAACTGATAATCTAAACAAATAGTCAAATAAACCATGTATTTAATGTGTGAAAAAGTGTTCCACTATTAGTCAAAATTTGGGGTCAGTAAGGTTTTATTTATTTTTAAGAAATTCAGCAAGGACACATAAAATTGATCAAATGTGATAGTGAAGACTTTTACATAATTTTTTTTTTTTTATCTATTTCAAATAAATGCTATTCATCAAAAAACTAAACACGACATGATCGTGGCACATAGGAATAAATTACTTTTTAAAATATACAGTGTTCCACTATTAGTCAAAATTTGGGGTCAGTAAGGTTTTATTTATTTTTAAGAAATTCAGCAAGGACACATAAAATTGATCAAATGTGATAGTGATAATTTGTGATATTTGTGAATGTGATAATTTTTTTTTTTATCTATTTCAAATAAATGCTATTCATCAAAAAACTAAACACGACATGATCGTGGCACATAGGAATAAATTACTTTTTAAAATATATACAAATAATTATAATGTATTTATATTTCAAAATATTACAGTTTTAGTGTATTTTGATCAAGTAAATTGGTGAGCATAAAACACTTTTTTTTTTTTTTTTTTACTGTATCAAAGTTTTCATTTCTGCTTTCATGAGCCACCACACTGCCACTAAATAAGTTTGCCTTTTTTAGTAGTAGTTAGTGCACTTGTTTACCATGGAAGCAGCAGCACCAATGAAAAGCTTGAGATGAGATGTGAGATGTGTAAAATTATGGTAAATATCACTTTTATTATTTATAATTTTGTGTAAGAAGTTAACATTTGTAAGACTGAAATCAGTCATCTTACTTTCAAAAATATTAAATTTAATTTCCGCTATGATTTCCACCACAGACTCCTATTTAACACAATACATGATTAGCAGTTACCATACACCCTATAACTATGCTGTAATATATTAACAGTGTCTGACATTGTAAGTAAATTAATTCATTTATGATTTGTTTAATTAGCGAGAGTGAGAAACTTGCTTTAAGAGAGTTTATTTATTAAACTCCACTTATTTATTTAAGTCTAGAGGGCTAAAAGTCCCTATAGTTAAAGAAACACTTCTATTTTTTCTATTCTATTTTTTCTACATGCAAAAAAGTTTTATTTCATCACAATACACAACTATGGCCACCAAAAGATAAAGATGTTCTTTTGCAGCCAGATGGTGTAGTTACAGCGTCTACCAGACAAACCTTGACCCCTTAGTAGAAACTCTTAATCTCACCAACAGAAACCAGGCCTCCTCCAGCACTTTGAACTCAGACTTCAGACACCAGATACTCTGCTTCCATTTCACTGCACCATCAGTGTCTCTGCTCTGAAGGTTTTCAATTAGTATAAATAATGAATCTAAATGAACAGCACCTGACGTCTCTGGTTGAACCTAATCAGTGTAATATGTTTTTACTGTTGCCCTTGAGCCAGCTTGTATCAAATTATTGTTGGAAGGAACATCGATTAGCCGGAACGGTGGTGAAATATTACGCTATGGTCACTCAGTAGATGGTGTAATTTAACAGACCTCAAAAGTGATATTAATATTTCAATAGATTGCAAATGACCCACTCCCTGTGAAACCCAAATGGCCTACACTTTAGCTTTAGATTGAATGTACACAAACATCTCAATCATGAGTAAAAAAAGGCCTAACAGAACTAACAGAGCAGAACTATTATCTTCACATGCCCTGAGTATTTCACGCTTGATGTGCTCTCAGTATTAAATAAACAGCTTTCATTCCTTTTTGTTTCTTTGGTAAAAGGCTACTTAGCAGAATATACTGTAGCAGCTCATGTGTTGTGTTTTTAATGTGAACACTGAGGTTTCATCTTCTGTGATGAATAGGAAGTAGAATAGCTTTAGATCGATCGTGTCCACGCTGGCTATATGCTTGCATTATATCAGAGATATGATTGGTTACTATGTTAAATAAAATCATTTGTGAACACAATTAGGAAATTCTTTCTTCACCAATGCACTCTTGACTTTTTATAAAAAATTATTAAAATCTCATTACCACCTATTAACCTGTCACGTCAAAATCACCATTTAATATATTTTTCATTACCATTTGCCTAACAATAATTGAGATGGAGAAAAGGGTTTTAAGTTTGATTTCAAGCACTTTGTCAACAATTATTAATCTATCTATCTATCTATTCAAAAATATGTTAATTAATATACTATTAAAACTAATGCTGTCAATAAAATGAAATGTGTTAATACAACATTGTCTTGTAACTATTTCATCATTGTCATCAATGTAGACATGAATTTTGACAGTAAAATCCTGTTTTTTCTCTGTCAATCTTTGTGAGGAAATATTTGTCTTAAAATCCAGTTAAAAAGACTGTTCTAAAATATAATAGACTCTTTTTTGTTAAGAGAAAGAGAAATTGTACTCAAATAGTGTTTTCTTTCTTGTAAGAATACCAAAAAAAATAGCTTTTCTAATTCAAGAGATGCATTTCATGAAAAGACCGACCAGTCTCAGTGCCTTTCAATTCCACCGACAACACTAATAATAAAAACAATACATGCCACACAGAAATAAAAATGTGTATTATGTAGCCTAAGCCTATTAAGTGAAATCTGGTGGTCTTAGTGAAATCTCTTTTAGACTTCATCTTTCCACTCTTGAAGACACTTGTGTGTGAGATCGTTGTCAAAAGCTAACTGAATGAGCTTGGCCTTACGCGTTTCGCTTGATTAAACTTGTTACACTGCTAAAATTTGATTTTAAGATCGCATGTACAGCTGAGCAAAAGAATCACAATGACATAAGCGTACATACTGTCTTATATGATTTATCCATACATCATGCTACACCCAAATAAACAAAACTACTTCTAAGGCAAAAATATAAATATTGAAAAAGCCTTCTGCTAGACCATTGGTTGTTGTTTCTGAATAATTAATAAGGTCTATTCAAGGTTTGGTCACTGTTTTGGAATTGTGTTTAGTATTCATTTATAAATACAATTATGTTATAAGATTACCAAATTAATACATTTTGTGTACTATATGCATTAATCCATTAAATATGAATTTTCTGTGTTTAAAGAATAATGTGTTATATATAGTGGGATATTGTGTGTGGGCCTGAGCAGAGGTCAAAGACAAACAAGCTTTTGCATGATGCAATGATGGTGGCATCCGATGCAGACATTGTGTTAAAACCTTTCTAAACTGAAATTACTTGTGTTGTCTTCATACACTTCACTACGATAACATTTTGTAAATCCTGTGTACAAATGCCATGTGGCCTCTCAGTTTTCAGTGTAATTATAATCGCCTGACTAGTGACTTGTCTTTGTGTGAACATCCACAAAATTGGAACACTTTCTGAATGTATATAATAAGCAGTAGGCTAAATTTAGAAAGGAAAAAAGGTGAAAAAGAAGAGTAAGGGAGAGTGAATAATATGTAATCATGTAATCAATAGAGTAACTGTAATCTGATCAAGAGCATTTTAAAATGTAATATAATAATTACAAGTTCTTATTTTTTGTTATCTGATTACATAATCCAGATTACATGTAATCAGTTGCACTGTGCATTGATTGTACTTGAGCTTTTGATAAACAGCATCACTCTTCTTGAAGGTGTGATGGTTTAGTCTGACTGGCTCATATCCCTGTGAAGATGAGAGAAGTTGCTGAGGGGTTTAGTCATGCTGCTTGCATCTCCACTCTGCCACAGCATGAGGTCAGGAATCTGTTTGATGTCTGCCTGACCTATTTCAGTGAGAGCCCTGATCAAAGTCAACAAACGTGCAACTCTACATAGTTTTTGGTCTGTGCAGAGAGACATTTTATATGTCAACTGACTGTACCTGTGTGCATCTTAAATCTGAAACCCTTTGTGGGTTTGTAAAGAGCATAATGACAATATGTTGCCATTTTAACATCAATTGTCAGTAAGTGATCGATCTAACAGATAATAAATACAGTGTGTCAAATCGATAGTGAACATTTTCAGTTAAAGGGATAGTGAACATTCTGTCATGATTTGCTCACCCTTATGTCTTTCCAAACCTATATGACTTTCTTTGTTTTGTGGAACAGATATTGAAATCAAAAGCAAATGCTGGTGCACTCAGCTGATATTCGGTTGTATAATTATGCCTCAGCGGTGATTATTATTCATAGATGCGATTTATATTATGAGACCGAATATTAAATAGGTAATACAGCTGAATGTACTGACTGAGTGATATTGACCAACTGTATCGTTTCCATTGTTCTGTTGATGGGATCTTAAAATTGTTTTGACATTCACTGTTCCCTCTACACTGCCACATGCAGATGCACCGTCTGCCATTGTGCATGCCTCACTGTCCCCTTCCTTTCATCTGCGTACATAATGGATGTCCATCTGTGAGACACTCATAAACAGAAGAAGGAGATGCAGATGTTAGCAGGACAATGCAGATGGCACACATCACTCTCGCTGTCATCGCACATCTTGCCCCACTGGCCTGCGGGCCGACCGCATCAGAGCAAAAAGAGCTTCTCTTTAGATGAGGGTGCCAAGAGCTTTTGAAAGTTATTAAAGATTGATTGAACTTGATTTTAGTGCTTTCTGTTTTATAGTAATATTCAGGATGGGTGATTACTATTTATTTGCGAGCAGATTACAAATTAAACACCCACTAAATGCTTCATTGTGCTGCTTGCACTAATGACTGAATGCATTAATGACCATTGCTTGGCAAGACAGGAATAGAAAATATTTTCCTTTTGCTTTCAGAACAAAAAAGAGATCTACATCAGTGAATTCATTTTATTGTAATTATTTCACATGCAATACATTATAAATACAACAACAACAGGTATTTTTGTTTACTTTTGTATCATAACCAATTTTAGTATTTTGTATATCCTACTGTACACATGATATTCAATACAAAATCTGGTTCCTGAAGCAAAAAAATGTATAGCCAACGGCTGCCTTCAAATGCTTTCAGAATTATTGTAAATACGAGTTTCCTAGTAGGAAATTGGACATGAGCAGCATCATACTTACAGTCATATTTACAACTGGAAAACAGTCAGAGATAATTTTGATACCCAAGTTTCTGAGCTGGGCAGGCTATAAACTTGAAACATGGTGAAGGAGAGAAACATAGCTGTAGTACTGTAAAGTTTTTTTCCCACATCATCTACACTGCTTAACTATTTGATGCGTATTGTATGTATTGAACACAGTGAAAATAGCACCTATTTGACCAAAATATTGTCAGCCAGCTCAATATATTGATAGCGCAGTGAATTTGGACGCTACATTTTTATTCAAAACCTGTTGGATATTGACTAAATATTTTCTATACCTTTGGGCTTTAATAAAATTTGCCCAAGAAACAGGCAAGAATGAACTCATGAATTCCATCCACCATCCACTAAGATTTCTGTTCTTTCCAACAACAAAGCTCTTGAACGAGACAAATTCGTAATTACAACTTCAGAAGTGGGAAGTAGGAAGTTTCCGATTGTACTTGAAGTCAGCATCAATGTTATTCTACAGTTAGTTCAGGTTATCGAATTTGATTGGACAGGTTGAGGTTGCATACTGTAGTTCAGCCAGTAGATGGCGACAAGTGGCTGTTATTATTATTAAATCATTCATCTTACCAATTCCTTCAAAACGCAAATGTATTTATTTATTTAATTTCACTTGACATCCAGTGTAGAAGTTCGATTCTGAAGAAAACAAGAACCACTCATATGATACCACTAATATTTGATTTGATCTACATTAGTACACTGACTTTAGTTTGTCTAGTTTAGGTTTTTTGGTTCTCATGTTTTAGTGCTACATTTTGGACCATTTTGGTAGTTTTCTGCTGAGTAGATTACCTCAGACAACATTTTAATTTGATTCAAAAGAGAAATGCAGTGTTTTGCTGTGTATGCAGTAAAAGGTCATATGAATTCAGGAACGAATGACAGCCACATCAGTTAAACTGTCAACATGTCAGCGGTAACCTTTTGGAAGAAAAATATGAAATTAGAAAATTTAGGAAATATTTCAGAGCAGCCGAGTGTGCAATCATTGTTCATTAATGAAGACCTTAAGCCATCTAGAGCTTTTAATTTGTAGAGGCCAGACAGCAGCAGAGGAGAGCGTCTGTGAGAAGCAAATTGTTATTCACATCCACATGTGTGTGTTGAGAAATTGTTTGCATGATTTTATGGACTTTGAAAAGGTCAGTGTAGATACTGCTCACAGGAAATATAAAGTGAGGATACTGAACGGCACATTTACAGTGATTTTAACAAACAGATGTACTGTATTTACTTTTCCAATGACTCCACATGTGGTGAATATATGGATATATTTGTAAGAAAACTCATTG